ATCGAAAAAATACTGCGTTCCACTTATTTTGGCCAGGGGGATATATATATATCTTATGTGTTAAAACAACTGCTGCTTCTTCTATTAACATAGTGCATGATCGATCATTGTTTGTCTTAGAATCACTTATGTAAGCTATGACTTTCAATAGTAATAAATTTACTAAATCAAATAGTCCATCAATAATAAAATAAGGAATCGAATTATTCTTTCTAAACATAGAATTATTAATAAAGCTCATCAAACTATACGATCACGCCTTGGTAAATCATTACAGTTCACCATTAGTTACCATATATGGCTGTTTATGCAGCGTATTCTACCATAAGCAGTCGTTTTTTGTGGCGTTTTGAATCATTGTAACATACCTAGTATCACTAGCTGTATAAGGATACTGCATTCCAACCGTCAATCGCCATAAAGATGACGTAATGTTGTCGAATCCTTTCATACAAACGGTCGCATTACTGATCAGTATTTACAGAGACAAATGACCCCATTAGTATCTCGTATTTCATTATAAAAATGGTCGCATACGAATCGTATTCTTCGGCCATGATAAATAACCGCAAGAAAAGCATAAGTTAATGCAACTGGTGATGCATGCAGACTTACCATAAGTAGATTTCAATGACAAATGAATTTTTATACTTTTATTGATAATTCAATAGTTTTTTCATCATTTTGAAGTTGTTTTATATGACTACTTGTTTTATATGCTAATGAAATTGTATTAATAATATCATATTCAAACTGATAACATTGTATCATAAAATCTTTTAAGAGAAGAAGATTAATTGTAGTTACTGTTGTAGAAACTATACGAATAGAAAAAAGATTTTATCAGGCAAATATTTGTCTCTAGTATTGTTGTTTAAAATGAAACCCCTTGATTTTAATAGTCTCTATGGAATATTTGCTAATTATTTCATTTTGTAATCAGATTTATCTTGTAAATAATTTTTTACCCTCAAGTGTATTCGTATTATTAATTTAAGATTTTGATTAATATAATTTATATTCTATTGAAGAAGAAAAATTAATGATTCTCATTTATCATTTGTCCTTATTCAATAACACATTGATCTCATATTTGTTTTTAATTTGTTTTTTGCTTATTTTACTACATAAACGACAGAAAAGTAATGTATACAATTGTTTCAAAACATATTGCACTTCCATTAATGCATAGAATGTCAACAATGAAAAAAAAACATAAAGCATCAACAGAACAAAGATCTGTTAATATAAATTAGTAGAAAAATAACATCCTGACATGTCGAATATGTTATAATTCTCTGTATTTTTTTTTTGTTCGTCATCATTTTATACTTTTGTGACTTAATGCAAATGAGGAACTCTTCTATGGGGTTAATATATATTTCTACATAGTTAAAATAATTTTCTTTTTTTCTTATATTTTCTTATTCTTCCTCTCTCAAACGTCTCTTCTCGATATCAATTATTGTTTTCCGAAAACAATTGTTATTTTTTTTCTATCTTCTCGTTTCACCATGTTAGATAGAAGTAAGAAGGACAACAAAAAAAACAGCAAAGATAAGAGATTTTCTGATTGCTCTCTCTATATCCCTGCATCTGTAATTTGTATTGACGCATGATCAATTATCATTTTGCTGTTTTCCGTTCTTGTCTATCAACAAGTGTCTCTGTCTCTTCTCTTTTTCGTCTATTTCATATGAGCAAGTCACATTATTAACGATCACTATGATGCTGAGAGTGATAGAATATCCGGAGTAAGCAAATTCATTTTTCTCATCTACTAATAAAAACGGTTTTTTTTTTATTTATAGTAGGAAAAGCTTTGATTTCCAATTTTTTTTCAAGCATATCTCATTTCTCTGCTGTTCTTTTCTTATCTTTAGCGCAATTTCATTAGGTTTTTTTGAATAAAGACTGTGTTATGGCAAAATGGTATTCATAAAACAGACAAATATTCGTGGCAATTAAAATGAATTCTCGTCGACATACAGTTTCAACAATAAAATCAGATGAGTCACTAAAAACAAGCTGTTTACCAACTTCAATTAGACACATTTTGGAAGGAGTGACACAATATGATAGTAAGTACATATACATGTGAATACTCACCATACTTGGTACACTCAATTAGTCTTCCATCCAATTCACTAAGTTTTTGATTAGTCCAACACGAAACAGAATTTGTTTCTAAGATATTTTTAAACTCTTATATTCAACTTGTTAATTCAGTTTTATTTCATTCTATTTTTTATGTTTTAGAATTTCTAAAAAGTAATTTTGAGACTTGGGATACAAAATTGTATTTAGGAATATTGATATATCCATGTTTCTGAATAAAAATTTGCATGCTAAGTCAAAAAATGAATTTTTAAAAACTCTAGAACAGCTTAAACATTACAAAAATTTTAATTGTTATTAAAATAGTGAATGAATTTTCTCCATAAAAAAAACACCCACACTCGCACCCTTGTCTTACAGTTGTTATATAAACATGTTTCTCGAGTTAAGCAAAATAGGAATTGTTTGAATTATATTTTTTATTGTTATTGTCATCTTAAGTTAAGAACAACAATATAAAATTTTGCAAATATTTTCATAGAACTATTGTGTAAATTGTTTGTTTTTTTTTTCTTTTTAAAGCTCCTAAAGTGGTACGTTTTGAATCGAAATGGATTGCAAGTCTATCTTTAATTGTTAAATTATCTCTTGCTATTAGTTGTATATATTTAATGTGTCAACGAAGTTCATACCAAATATTTGATCGTTCACCTATATCAGCTGTGACAATTAAAGTAAAACCATCATCATCTTGTTCAAAAAATTCGTCTGCAATGCATTTTTTTCCAAATTATAATTGTGAACAATCATTATATGATGTAAATGATTTTATTATACCAGCAACAGAAAATTCTGCTGTATCAATAACAACTCGTATGATAGAAGTGGAACATATATTAAGATTTTGTGATCATACAACAATAAGAAAACATTCAAATGCATATTCATCATTAAATATAACATCAATATATAAATGTTCTGAACAACAACGTTGTATATTACCACCATTATATCGTTATGAATATGAAAATGAAAAAATTATTAAAAAACCACAATTATGTTGGTTTAGATTACCAAAAGCAGTTATTAAAAGAAATTATCGAGCACTTAATTATATTATATTTATAAAACATTTTGTTGAGTTTACTCAACTTGGTCTTATACGAGACAATCTTATAATAAATAAAGTAAAAACAAGACATATTGATACATGTGAATATGATCCAGAAAATGATCCATTGTGTCCAAAATTTCGCATATTAAAAATATTAGAAATGATTGAAACTAATCCACGAAAATATGAAGCAATGTTTTTTTATGGTTCATTAATTGAAATAAAAATTAATTGGAAATGTAATCTTGATAAACGTTTGGAATATTGTAAACCTCATTATGAATTTCAACGTTTAGATGTTCAACCATATAGAGATAATCCTTATGATCCTGGTTCGAATTTTCTTACATCAAGATATTTTTTTCGACCAAATGAAAGTGAATTACATCGTGTACATACAAGAATATATAATTTACATATAATTGTTTCTGTAACAGGTGAAGTTGGAAAATTTGATTTATTTCAAACAACAACGAGCATTGGCTCATTTCTTGGTATATTTGGTACAGGAACAATTGTTTGCGATTTTATAGCTGCTTTTTTTACGAATTTTAAAAGTCTCAAATATGATATTTGATTATTCCAAGATATATATATATATATGTATATATTTATTTATTTTTCTCAGGAAAAAAAACATTTCTGTTGTGTTTTTTTAAATTTTATACAATAAGAATTTATCTAGTTAATAATGATGAATAGATTGCTGAAAGAGCTTCTTGAAAATCATGATTATTTTGAAATGAGATAAGTTCATTTGATGATTGAAGTTTTTCACGTGATGGAATTATATTATATTTATCAAGATTTTCATCTAAAATTATTCGAGTAAATACCAAAAACAAATATTAATATATAAAAGTTTACGTTTAATATAATCAAATAATTGACTAAGAAGTGTTTTAGCATTGCATGATAATGGATCTGCTGAATTGCCTATTGGTTTAAGAGGATCAACTAATATTGCTTGAGCAAATATAAATAAACGAAGTTGATCGAAATCTGGATTAGTCTACAAAGAAAAATCAACAGTGGCAAAAAAATGCTTGTCAAATTATGTTTTATGATAGATAAATCAACTAAATAGTTCGGATAGAAGTCAATGTTAATCTTTTGTTTTTGGAATAGGAAAAATCACTTTTCTTAACTAACTGAACGTAATTCAATGTCAAATGTTTGTGACCCGACTATTGATGACTTTTCTTTTCTTTCATGTCGTAGTCGGAGACAAAAGATATGCACTTGATGGTTCACAGATATTACGCAGTTGGGATAGTAGGATTATGGGATAGAATCTTTCTCTTGTTTATGTTTCTTTTCTTATGTACACAACCTACGATCTTTAAATCACCATCGAACATACAGTGCACTCGCTATGCATCGTTGTCCAATATTAATAAAGAAAAGTCGGTAAAGTAGAGGAAAAGATCGTGCGATACATAACTTCTTGTTCTACTAAGCTATTCCACGCTCTCTTATAGAACTTTAATAAAAACATTAAAAATATAGTTTATATCTGCAAAATGTTCAGAGTGTCGATTCACTTCTAAATCCAATTTTTTTGTAACCTGAACCAAGTCCCAAACTGAAGTAGATAAAAAAAACTAGAAATCGAATTGAATTTTGTAACTTGAAAAAAATGTTCACTAAATGACATCATTTCTTATTGTTTCTCATTTTATAGATAAGTAAAAATCTCTTATGATTGACTCAAAAAATGTACAATAACAGTCTCGCTCACGTCGGAGAGTAAATAATACTATTTAATAGATATAAAAAACAAAATAGAAGAAATAGATCGCATTTTGTTGTTTCTTGTGATTTGTCTTTAGTTAAGATTATTTCGATAATGTCGTTTATAATCATAAACTGTAGATCATCTACAACCATTCATTTTTCTATACAAACCAAGTCAAAATACATCAGATGCTACATAAATAGAATTGTTATTGCCAATGTTCAATATAAGCAATGATCATTCAAATGGCAACTTAAAGTTCTCAACTCACATGGACATGATTATCAGTGGAAATATCAATTTATTTTAATCTTATGAAGAGTAAAAATAAAATTTTATTATTGATTAAAAAGATGTATATTTCTAAATTGTGTGTTACAGTATTTGAGAGTCACTGTACGGCAGTCATGATCAATCGTACTTAATTGAAGCTCTAAAATTTTTGCTAGCGTCTTTATATAGACTCAATTGAATAGTCTTTAGCAAAAAATAATTTGAGCAAATTTCACGTCACTAATGTAAAAAAAAAATATTTATACGACAACGTGCTAACGATTTATTCTATAATAAATTGTTGAAACAGACTTTCTTCAGATCAGTGAATTAAAATCAGCCCAAATTTTTTTCGCCAGATATTAACGTCTCAGCTGGTACACATCGAAAATATTTAAAACTTCAATTCTTCAGCTAACAAGAAGTCGAACTCTATTCACAGGTCTCTAGATAATTTTTCGTAATGGATGAAACTAAAAATTTGGCAGATAGTGACTAAGAAAAGCTGCATTTTCAAACAATAGATCAAAATTTTTGCAGACACGACCTAAAAAGTCGCGGGGAATAGTTGACCTTAGCTTCTTTCACATCAAGACCTATGTCTTTATGGTAGAGCAAATTATACATAAATATAAAACTTTTATTATATGCTTTTCTATCATGATAGGTTACGTCTCTTATGAAATGACTTGTAAGCTTTCATCAACACAATTAGAAATGCTAGAAACGATTTATACATTTAAAAAATATTCTTAATAATCATGAGATAACACTTGATTTCTTCATATAAATAAATAATAGAAATCTGATTTTAATCGAAAATAAAAATTATTTCTTACTTCCATTTGAGAAAGTATTTTTAAAGCACTACAATAACGTTGTAATAATGATTGTGATGTATTTTTCTTTAATATTAAATTCTAAAACAAAAATCAATTTAAATTAAAAAATTTTTCTCTTTTAAACTCATCAACTTTAATCATATCTTTTGCACTAATAAGTGGTTGTTTTAATCGTTCACCTTCATCAAGCTAAAATTTAAAAAGCAAAAGAATTCTATTAATTTATAATTGTTCATTTTTTTTTTAAATACGTTTGATAAAAGATCAAGTCTTTGTTGACAAAGATTTTCTTCATTTTCAATAAAACGTAAACGTAATTTAATAGCTTCAGCATTTCGTATTTCATTATGACTACTTGCCAATAATGCAAATTTACTAATAGCCAAAAGAGTCTATTTATAAAATAAATAAGTAGATAGTTAAATATGAATAAGTATCTTACTTGACGTTTACCAATTGTTTCAGTAACTAGTTGTAATGTGGATAAAGAAGCCTAAATATCAACAAAATAATCGATTAAATTTCTAAAAAAAAAAAAAAAAAGAGAAAGTTTTCTTTTTTACATGTTCATAATCTCGATTTTTAATATCAACCATCCAAGCAAATTCTGGTTTAGATTTTAAATAACGTTGAACAGATTTTAAATCAAAATATTCTTTTTGAAATAAAACCGATAATGCTGATTTCGATCTTAAATATTCATCAAATACAACCATAAACTAAAATATAAAAATAATATTATTGAAAATTTTTATTTTATGAAATTATTTACTTTATCTCCATATTGTTCAATATAAGTTCTTAATTGTTCAATATCTTTTAATTCATCACATATTTCAATTAATGATTGATAATCTTCAAATTCTTCAGCTAATTGTTTACCTTTAGAAAATTCTTTTAATTTAACTAAAAACAAACACAATCATAAATTTTTTATTTCAATAAAAAAAAGAAAAAAAAATATTTACTAAATATTTTTATTAATAAACTTCGTTTTTGTTTATAGTTAATCCAGGGTCTTTGTTCCATATCATTATTTAATTCATTATCTGAATAAAGATCACATATATAAAGTCGATATTCATCAAGTATATGATAAACAAGACGAGAGATCATTGTTAATAAACGTTCACGTACTTCACGTGATTCACATAATTCTAATGCTTGTTCAAAATGTTGAGTACACTAAACGAAAGAAAAAGAAAAGAAGTTTTATTTAAACTAACATTTTAGCATAATTGCTTAGAGATTATAAACTATCAAACAACTTTTCCGGTGTTTTATTTTCCGAAGAAGGTAATTGCATAGTATTTGACACAATAACTATGAATTCAACTTTCATAGCATCTATACTTGACAAAATATGATACGCAATAGAAATACTTTAACCTTTATTAAATTATTTCTCATATTACAGTAGACGCAAGAAGCTTTGCTGCCGAGTAAAAAGTACATAGAACTCAATTCTTTTGCCTTTTTTTATTGTGATTACAAATGGGACTGGATAAACCCTAATTGAAAGCAGTGACTCAAGATCGACGAATCTTAATGTAAAGGATTTACGATGAAAATACTGGTTTTTTTATTAACAAATAAAACTTCGCAGGTGTACATATTGTGTCACAGACAGAGTATTTCAATGAACTGTAACATCGAGGGGGCGAGAAGTCTTCATTGTTTGAAATAGTATTCGGATGACTTTCCATTGATGACTGTGATTATGAAATTGTTAAAAAAACTCAACCCAATCAGACCATTCATGGGAAAAATTGCTAAGGCAAATAGCTCAAATTAGCTAGAGCATATATTAATTTTTATTTTGTTTAGAAATATGAGTTATTGATGGTTTTTGCTAGGGTTCATAGAAGAAGATCTAGTCGATAACAGATCCATTTTCGAGAGAACGTTCAGTATTTTGGTATTTTTATTTAAATAAAAGAAGATAAAAAGGAAACTAACGGAAATAGACAGTGCAAGCCATGTTTAATATCTTTAAAAATAAAAACTTTCAGTTTTATCACCAGTATTGCGGCTGATAAAGAGAGTCAATAAAGGACACTGTCAATTTTAGCTCGAACAACCCAGGTATCTTCTATCTACTCTGAGAGTTTTAGTCTTCTTTCTTTAATGAACTGTTCTTCGAGAAATCTCGAAAATGACGAATAGAAGTTTTATAACAATACTGCCTATTAAGAGAGAACTGATGGTCCTGCGTTTTCAGGCCCGTAGGCAAGGGGGGAGCCCGGGGGGCCCGGGCTCCCCCCTAACCTTTTCTCCTGTAACACTTATTATTGAATCTTTCTGGGATCTGCTTAATAAAAGAAAACAAAGAAAGAAATATGAAACAAAACGAAAAAGCTGCATCTAAGATGTTAAGAACGAAAGTATCGATACTGGAAATCGTACGAGAAAGGTTTTTGCAACTTTAGAAAAAAATTTGGAATTGGGCTCCCCCCTTAAAAAATTCCTGGCTACGGGCCTGGCTGCGTTTTTATCTTTAAGGTGCTATAACCATTAAATTTCACTAAAATCTAAAATATTATTTACATGCAGAATATATAAATCATTAAGATTATGTTCATATAAAATCCACGGTTGACAAATAACTGATTGTGTAAAATCTTCATCATCAATTGGGTTTGATGATATAGCTGATTCTTGTTCATGTTCCTGACGATATTTTTGTATACTATCAAATGCAATTAATAATAAACGTGTTGCTTC